AACGGATGATACGTAGGTGGGAGCATTTTTAACGATTCCTTCAACAGCAGTTTGTCCACGAGAGATCCGACGGAGGCCAGCGCCGTCGGATCTAGAAGTCTGGCTCGCCTCGGGCCAAGGACACGCGCAGCGTCCGCTCTCTTTCACCCGTTTGCGCAAACTACCCCCTGCCAGTTTCCCATATACACCCGCCCTCTCCCTCTCCCTCCCTTTCTCTCTCGTTCGCAAGATCTTTCATCTTCACCTCCCTTTAATCGTCGCTGAATTAATCTGCATACTACGACTAGTGCTCTCTCGATCAGAGTATACACGCGATGCGAACTTTCTCTTTGACAATTATGCGTAATCGACAAGCGATGAAATTAGCGAGAGGATCAGCTGTTAAATCTTCTAATAGTAGCGTTTTAAAAACCGTGGCAAAGGTTTCTCAGTCAAACGAGAGCAATTAAAGTCATTTACGTGGGTTGATAATATAGATCATAAAAGGAGAATACTAATATCTGAACACACACATTTCTCGCTTTTAATAGCATTTAATCTTACTTAAGTATACGTATAGAATGTATAGATAGTTCGATAGCTTATTTGATACCGGAGTAGATATATACATACGCGTGTATACCCAGGCCAAGGACGAGTCCAGCGAGAGCCCGTTTCTTTCATCTCTTATTCACCCTCTATTTTGTTAATCTTCGCTCGATTCATGCTGGAATAGTGGATGAAGAAACATTTCGCAGAGTCGCGAGATTGAAAGAAAAAAGCCAGCAAGATCGAGGCTAGCGTTTATAGATCCGTTTATTATGCGTTATGAGACTTGAACTTTCTCGATTTGTATCTCCTACGCCTCTTAGGCAAAATCGACGATGCGGAAATTGCACTTTTGTACTGTGATTGCTCATTCACAGCGAAGAATTTTCGCGATGGAACAACGATCGTCTATATAACAAACTCCCTTGTGACTCCCAATGAAACGCTCGCGCATTAAATAATTAAATTAAAAAATCTGTACCGTGCATGAAAATTAAATGTAACGTAAAATAATATCTGAGAGAAAATAATAAAATAACCTTAATTTAAATATTTAAAAATTTGTTAAAATACCTTTTCGAATTTTATCAACTGTGTCCTTTGAACCTAGAGTAAATGCAACAGCTATTACGTGCACAATAATTTACATATATACGCGCAAATATCGTATATTTCACAATAAATTCCATCATGGTTATTGTGTATTTTGCTAGCTAGAGCATTCGAATCCTGCACAGAAGTGCAGATTTCATGGCCCGATGCTTCGATTCGATCAATAGAAACCGCACGATGTGTCATGTGTCCCGTTTGCGCAAAACAACGCACCTCTAATTTCACACGACGGAATTCTATTCGTTTCGATTAATGAAAGCAAAGATATATACTATCTAATTATATTTGCGTATTGTACATTTTTAAACGTACAAATCATGAGTGTTGCAAATATCATCTGCGCATTATGTAGAACGTATATGTACATATCCTGGAACATGATGGTATTCATATAGACCTTCTCGTGGCTTCAAAGTTCATCAAATATTTCGTCTCGACCGACCTCCGTGCACATTTTCATAGTGCTCAAATAAACCGGTCTATCCTACTGTAATGTGCAATAGTTCCGATTCCCTATGCATTTTTGCTCGGCGAAAGAATAGAAAAGAGAAGGTATATTTGAGAGAAAATTTCTCTTGAACGATGGCACTTAACGATTCGCCTTTGCAACTTGCTCTTTGTTCGTAAGACTGGTCGGCAAAGCTCTGATGGAAGCACGATTTCCAATAATACCATTGTAAACGCTTCACCGCGCTGTACGCAAAGCGGGAGCGCGCCGAGTTGAACCGAGCAAAGTGACCTCATTGAGTTTTACCCGAAGAGGAACGCGCAATAACGAAAAACATTATCACAGGCAACGAATTAAAAAAGATACTCGAGCGCGCGGAAAATATAAAAATTATATAATAACATAGTTCACGAGAGAAGACTTCGCTACAGTCAACATTTGAGAAGTACAGAGATAACTCCACTCAAAATAATATTTCTTGCTACTTCTGTATCTGCGTTGTTAGTAGTTGAAATTAACAAAAAACATCTGTGCGCGATTTTATTTTAAAAAACGAGAATGGATATAATTCTTTTATTTGGCGAGAAATACAAGAGAGAGAAGGAGAAAGACATTTTTTAAAGGAACTGTCTTTTTTTTGCACAAATAGCAAAATAATTTCGATAATTCTAAATCAAATATTATCGCAAAATAACCTTAAAATCTCTTCAAAGAAGAAAAAAAATTATCTAATAAGAATTTAATTAAAGATATAGGTATATCATAAATAGAGAGCAAACTCCAGGTTTCAAAAACATTTCTTACGCATTCAAATATTAATGCGGCCCTTTAATTATTTGCAAGCAAGGACTTGATATACATTACTACGGTAGTCCCGTGCCAGAAAACACTTTCCTCAAAGAGAAATCGCACGAAAGGTAGCTATAATTTCGAGGCAATATCATATCTCTGTCGGATCCATGTGCAAAAAGGTTCACGAGATAAAGGGTGTATGAATAATACAAAGGCAATTCCCGGGAGAGGAGATACACCAGGGTATCACGTGCGTGCAAGCGCAAATAACCGCTGAGGGCAGAAATCGAAATTTCTGTGGGCACATAGGACGATTTAGCAGCGTGCGTAATCAAAGGACTGACGACCGAGTCGAATTAACCAGCAATTGTGCAGTCTAGTGCGAACGTGAACTAATATAAAGGATTTTTAATTTACTAATTTGTTTCGCACACGTTTTTGTTTGCACACGTAGATCGCGTATAAACGTGAATAGCGTAGAAATATTAATGTAATTTATAATAAGAGTAATCCTTCGTAGTTTAGATATTATCCCAGAATCGTATTAAAATTATTATATATATATATATATATATATAAATAATCTCGCAACCCACGTTTCATCTTCCTAAATTAAAATAACTAATGTTTCAGTAACTAAATTTCGATATGCTTCAGTATGAAGATTAAAACTTGTCCTAGATACCTCACGTCAGAGAGATTTAGAGAGTAAAGTAGTTAAATAAAGGTAAATACAAAATAAATCTGTCGTCTAAATAATCATTCTCAGTCACGAATTTATACGGACTGACGCAAATACTAAAAAAATTTTTTTCAAGAGTCACTGCTTCCGCATTTTTAGTTTCGCTCTGAGAAATTCCCAGAAATGCACCATGTCGAAAACTCTGCTTATGTAAAAGTACTTCTCTGATTCGGACAAATAAGAGTATATCTCACAAGCAAGGCAAAGAGCTACGTGCATCGCGGCGACGTGTTCAAAATATTTTTCTCGTTTCCGCGCGAATTTATCGCGCGGTTTTTTTTTCTCTTGCCACCGTAACGTACGTTAATTCATTTTCTCTCACGCCATTGAGCTCCGTTATCCTACAAAAAATTCCACTCTTATGGAATGATGTACGATCGTTACGCGAAGTGTCTCAACTCGTAGCGTGCAAGGAAAGCGGCGAGAAAGTAATAAGATGCGTAAAACGAGTCAAGTAATTCTCCGTAAATCGCTGACGAAATTATTTGTTTTCATTGAAGAAAGAAATAATTCGTATCGTTACGTACGACGGGCGAGCGAGGAAGCGAATTTTCGAGGTGCAACGCGCCATGAATTCTCTTTGTGTGAACCATAGAGCATACTTAACAAAGCACGACCTACTTCAAAAGAAATCATTATTTGTCGACTCCCATACTCGGGAGTTTCGAGTAACAATAAAATTCTCAAGTCATGCTGGCATATCAAAGAAGCATATTGCCCCATTAATTGGAATGTTCCAATGAGTTAATATCAAGCTTCGAACGACGTTAAAAATTATATTCACTCGAAATTGAAGATAAAAATTTTTAAAATATTTTAAGAGAATTTTCGGGAAATAAAATTATATATTAAAAAAATTATCAGAGAGATTAAATATCGGGAAATTATAAATATCGATTGATAATAAATGCAATTATTAATCGATAATATCCAGCTGTAATCGTATTACTCTAATAAATGCATCTCCTGCTGGCGAAGCATGAAATGCTGTTAGCTATTTTACTAAAGACGCGTATGCCTTGCAGTCGTCCTAGAAAATCTAATCTTTACTGAACGCAGTAGAAACAAACGACTGAATGTGAGTAGACATCGAAATGCACGAGGCACACATTCTGTCTACGTCGCAATCAATATCGCGCGTTTGTTTAACATTTTTAAATTGATTGAAACCAATGGTAAATGCCAAGCTATGCATTTTATATGTATTATGTATATATCACATATTATACATGTAATATTATATATTAACTTTACTTTGTACATAAAGAAATTAATCTGTGATGGATATCAGTGTTAATATAAGCCACTTCTATACAAGCTCTTCAGCATCTCCCCCTTGTATCTACGAAGGACGAGGATTTAATTAAAACTTTCTACCGTAATTTTCGAAGCGAGCGTGGAGTTAAAAAACCGATTAATTTTTCTCTGACACAGCATGCGTACGCATGAACGTCCAAAAACTGCGACCAAAATTGGATATCTTAGTGAATGTATATATACATATTTTTAATATTAAAGCACTTGTTCCAAAATGAACATATATGGTGTTCACGAAAGGCGAAGAGTAAGCTCGACGTTCGAGATAATATGGGCAAAGTTATTCGTCCAAACGTGCTTTCAATTTTGCCTATCTAAAAACAATTTAAGCGAAACGCTGTTTTATGCGCGACTACAGCGATAACGTCAACGCTGACGTCGACGCGCGTTCAAAATGATATATACCCAAGATTCGCCGAGGTAGTCTCGTGAAAAATACCACGTAAGACGCTTTAATTCCACAAATAACGATGTAAACGGCGTTCAAAGTGATTCCTGGACGATGTCGGCCATCGATCTTTACGTCGTACGGTATATTCACATTAATGGCACGGAACTTACCGGCGCCGAAAGCCTGTTGTCCATTCTTGTCGTCAGTCGGAGTGCCCTCTAAACTCGCGGGACCGCTGTCCGCCCCACCGGTCGCACTGCAAAAATATTTTCCCCGTGCATTCTACCGTTTATCCAATAAGATCGAACGGGAGCATTATGCTCGCGAACGGTAATAACGTTCGGTCGTTGCATGTGAAATATTAAATTTCAGTTTTATCGGCTTTTACAAAGTGAATGTCCAAGATAATAGGTGTTAAGGTAAATGTATCAATGCCTGGACAGTCAGTGAACTCGTACCTATGTCTGGACTTTATCATTTTAGTCTTTAAATAAGTATAACGCGAATTAAAATCTAAGATAAAAATATTTTTCTTGTATTTTGAAACTTTAGTTATAGTATCCAAACGTTGATTTGCGTTTATACTTATTTAAGAACTAAAATGACAGAGGTACAAAGGTGTCCTCTGATTGTCCAGATATTGGTACATTTACCTTATCGGATTAAAGAAACATGAGTCTCCTACTTACAAAAGTAAGTTTTTTCTTTTTGAGTTTATGTTCTGTCAAACTAAACATTTAAAACAAAATTTAATATAATTTAATAATACTCGAAATAATATAGATATAAAGCTAAAAACTTACAATTAATTTTTAATATTTTCCATCTTTGTTAAATTTCCTACACTTAATCGAAAAGAGAGCAATTTCTCACATTGAGAGACATAAAAGAGAAACATTGATTGAATTCTTTTCAATTACGTATATATTTTATTTCTTCGGAAATAAAATATGTCGCGATATATCGTTGTGTGGATCTATAAACGACATTTCATACGCAACGACCTAATAAAGTGTAAATAAAAAATAAATACATTAACGCCAACCTGCTTGCATCGTCATCCTTGATCTGCTCGCCGACGGGATCTTCGGTTTCTTGAGGCTGGTCCTCTTCTGTCTCGGTTGGCGGCGGGGCCTCACCTTCGGCAGCCCCGGCGCCACGGCTTAACCCGGGTATACCGCCACTCAACCAGCCGGACATTTGATTCTTTACCCCGGCGAACATCTCCAATTTATTGCCTTTCGGACTGCAAGAGAAAGAACCATGTACATCTTGAATCTGATTATTGTAGAGGAATATGAATTTAAATGAAAATCCTGAATAAAAAAAAGTTATTCTAATACGACTTCACTGAAAATGGATTCTGCACAATACATTCAAATGGAAAATTGAAACCTTAAAGATTGCGGATTAAGAATAATGGAATATGAGATAATTGTCCGTATTGGTCGCGAATGCCAAAGTGATTAATTAAGCAACGCTAACAGCGTGGCCCTTGAGCGACGCAACTCAATTGCAATGCAATTTTCTATTTGATATTATAAAACACACTTAATAGACACAATGAGTAACGAGTATAAACACCGCGTTGCACGATAAACCGCAACGCACAACCGATCGATTAATTAGATTAGTGCGGAGAAATCGGATTACACGAGGAAGCGTGGGCTTGGACCCACGCTTACAAACACGACCTTTTTAATCACTTCCTCAAATTCGTAGCTTAAAAGTTCGCCTCGTTTAAAAACTTCTTTACTCGGCCAAAATTTAATGTCCCGCCTGAGAGACGTAAGTTGTAATTTATATGACGTGCCCCGCGCAGTGGGAAAGCGATTAATTATCAATCAAAGGATTTGCATAGACAAAATTCCCATTGGCACTAATTGCGTTCAAGTTATGAATTTTGACTAATAGATAAGACGAGAATTTCGAAATGCGTTAGATACGAGTTCGCAAGGGTTGTACAACCCAATTTGCATACGCAATAAGACAATAATATTTCATATCAGTATATTCTCAGAAGATATATGCATTTCGGGAAATTATTTATATCGGAATCCGGTTAACTGCAGTATTTTCTTTAAATGCAAAATTCAATTTCTCTAATCGTTATATAAATTAATTAAAATATTTCATATTATTCTGACGTCTGTTAATATAAAATATGAAATTATCTGGTAAAGCATTCATTTTTCAATGAGCTTTTTACACAAATTAATTAAATAAATAAATTAACACAGTTTTTAAAAGAAAAAACTTAATTACATTTCAAAAAAGTAATTTCATATTGCAAATCGCATACTTTTTCTTAAATGCAGTTACGTGCTTCCTTTAGCAATCAGCTTATTTCATTATTTTATGCATAAAAGTATTAAAATAAAATAATTGAAAAATGAGAGATTAGAATATTTTATATTTTATTTCGAAATAAATCACAATGAATATATGTATCTCTCTTTCTATTAATTTCTCGAAAATTTTTCAATACTTTGTATGCAAATACAAAATAACTAGAAGAATTGAATTATGCACAGCAAATATTACGTTTCCACTTAAAAATATCTCGTAACGTAATATCTCTTGTAAAATATGTACATGTAATGTATACACGTACAACGTACACATAAATATGTCGTAGCAAATATTTCGTCCCGATTAAATATTTTATTGGGAGGGAATGCGAATTTGTCGCGCGTGAACGAGCAGCGTTATTGCAAATGAAGTGCGCTCGTACTACGATTTTCATTTTTTGCAAATTCCGTATATGACTGTGTACATCCGTCTGGTCGATCGAACGTGGAGCACCACCGTGGAGGATTGATTTCGCGCGAGAGTGGACGGGTCGTTGTGTGCGCTGACATTTGACGTGCGCCCTGTCATTGCGGACGCATGATTTCGCAGGAAGTGCACAGTCGGAGAGTGCATAGTCCACGTTTTATCATCACGGAAGTGACTTATTTTATTTTAAGAATATTTCAGTACATATTACGAAGACGCGTGTAACGGTATATTGCACGAACGCGCAGATTAATTGGATAGTGCACTTTGCAAAAACCCGCATTAAAATAAAAGCGGAGGAGAGAGAATTTTTTACAGGGTTTAATCGAGATTACATTTTTTCATATGACAGTGTAAATAACGCGCGCGCGTGCGTATATACGGTGTGGATATGTGTATGTAATACAATCAATTTTTTAATAAAAAAAACAAAAATGTATACTTCATGTTATTTTTAGAGTTTAAATGATACGCCTGCAAACCATGACACGTGTTATGAGTCACACTCTCACACCTGACCGTGAATTTAAGCTATACTACTTAAAACTTAAATAATAAACTTGAGAATTTTAAAAGGAGAGCCACATGCGTAAATGTGATAAAAATATGTACGTTGCAATTAATCACGTTTCGAAATTAAACGTATCCATAACAACCTATATCAATACGCGTTAAGCCCGTATCAAACTACGGATTGGGATTGAGATTGGATTGAAATTTAATCAATCAGAACAGAGAAAACTGACCTCAAGTTTAGTAAACTTTGCTCTGATTGGTCAAATTTCAATCCAATCTCAATCCCAATCCGTAGTCTGATTACGGGCATTAGCTTGTTAAGAGCGCCTTCGAGTTTTTGCATGAAGTTGCGTAATAAACTGCACAAACACATACGCACATCGCACGTTGACTGTGTAAAACTCATTAGATAGCACGCGTCGTCGAATATTTCATCGATATTACAAATTATAATTACTGCATACGCACTCATAGAGATGTCTGCCATTGCAATATGTCAAAACTACAGATAACAGATAATTATTATCGGTCACGTGTATCATACCGAAGACTGTGGAGACACAGAACTGCTTTGTTATGATTGTTATCAAACAGACGGCTAAACATCAAACGACTCATTTAACGAGATAATTCGTCTGATGGTCAAAGTCGAAGATACAAACGACGTTGTGGAAAACTTATCCCGGAAGCATTGATTTTCCAATTGTTCTGTTTGTCGAATTGGGTTCTGTTTGTCGATGACAGATAAATATTCGTAATCGATTGTCCGCGAAATCTTATTGCGACTGTACAGACACACAGACAGACAGACACGGATAAAGTGATTTATTTCCGAGTTTATTTCGTTCTAGGACCGTATTTTAGGAACGAAATTATATATTCAAAATAATATAATAAAAAGAATTAATGTTAAAATGTAAGAGGAGAAAGTGTTAAAGGCGTGCAAAATCATGATATCGCTGAGTCAATTAAAAAGTATTTAAAGAAAAATTAAGTATAATAAAATGCACTTTATAGCGTGCTTTGTTATTTTATTAATAAATATATAATAAAATTAGAACAGTTTAAAATTACATTATAAAATATTACTTTCACACACGTGTTATATATATTTGCGATAGATATGCGTGAAAAATATGACGCTAAGCGAATTCTGAAAATCTAATCCCGATTTCAGCACGGTGGTAAATTCCACAAAAATAGGATCGGCCCAGATAAAAAGAAAAAAAATGAAAATAGAAATATGTACATCGTTCTGATGTTAGGCTCGTTTTCTTTCGAGCTTTCGTATTATTTATACTTAAAACACAATAAAGTATTGTATATGTTCAAACTGCTGCGATGGTTCGAAAAAAAGGAGCGAGCAAAAACTCGAGGAAGGGGTGGAAAATATGGTCGAGAAGCGAACCGAGGAAACGGACGTGCGTCGGCTAAAATCTCGGCGATGGTGCAAATTCGGCGTCGCGATATCCGCGCGGGATATCGCCGCGTCCGTCGCGCTAGTTTACGTAAGTCGGGCGTTATTGATCTAATCACGAAAACGCGTTCTCCGAGGCGAGGAGGTTATGCCGTTAGTTTTAAACACACATTCCTTTTTTTGAAGGAGAAAAATTACAGAAATGAGCTTTCCGGAAACGAGTTTCGCGGGTCGAGCGATCGCGGCTTAGGTCGTTTAATTCCACCGAGGCTGCGTGCGCGTGAAAACGAGCCCGCTGCCCGGCACTTACATTCGCGACTTCCGGAATCCAGAAATCGGCTCCTCCTCGTCGCGCAGCATCCGGACGTCGAGTTCGTCGGAATCGTGCGACGTTCGAATTTTTTCGTCCTCGTCGAGGGGTGAGGAGGCGGAGAACCGCGAGGGGGAATCCGCGACCACGCAGAGCGAAGTGAGGCGAAGTCGCGAAGAGGATCGATTCGCGTAATTGATAGTTCGCACTTCGCGACGCAGTTCGCGATTCAAACGACGCGTAATGACGCGGGGGCGAGAAATCGAATCCGCGAGAAACACCCGCGGCGACTCGCAGCTAGTTTCAGGTTATGGAACGCGGAACGGGAAATGTACCTGGTGTTGTTCTTTTTCTCGAGATCCGCGCCGGTCTCGACGTCCGGGGACAGCGGTTTGGGCTCCTCGGGTGTCGCCTCGCTGCCGTTTTCGGGCTTCTTGCCCATCCAATTGGACACCTGATTCGTCAGGCCGGAAAACATCTTGCTACGTGCGTCGGCAAGCTCGGCTGGAATCTGCTTCTCTCTCTCGCTCTCTTTTTCACTTCCTTCCTCGATCGAACGACGACGTTACTCTCGCTTTACGTAAGTACTCACCGGAATCGATTCGGAATTGTCGGAAACGTCACCGAACTACCGAAGCCCTCGCGGGACCGAAGTGACAACGGATACAAGAATACCTCGTCCGTTCTCGCGACAGCGCAGCCACGAACTGCGTAAGCGGCACGTTGACGCGCGCAACTCGCGCCGCGCACCCATATCGCGACCCCAACGCCCGCCGGCCTTGCGCGACGAGCGCGCGAACCATCGCCGACCATCGATTGCACGCGACGCGACGCGACGCGACGCCGACGCCTGATTGTCGAGTCGCACACAAAAATCGCGTTACGCTGGTCGATGACAAATATGACAATGCGCCAGACGATTCTTCGGATAATGATTATGAACAGATGCTGGTTCTCCAAATGATCGATTTCAAGCCGGGTGGCTTGGAAGGCGGCGGATTGAGTCCGTCGCGCACCGAGGAACGCTAGGATTCTGATAGATTGCCGTGAGCGAGGGCGGACAATATCTGTCGCGTTTCTTGTAATTGTTGTGTATTTTCCTTATAAATAATATCGAGAATATGTAGCGACTAGAATATATCAGAATTTATCTCGTTCTTGATGAATAATATATTGGAAGCTCGGCCGGGCAGATTGATGGAGATCTCTCTCTCTCTCTCTCGGTCGCGTTTCTTGTATTCGTCATGTACTTTCTTTATAAATAATAATCTCGAGAATACGTAGCGTCTATAATATATCAGAATGTATTAGTAATTTACGACGAACTTCGGAGAAGCGTAATCTTGGCTCGGTTATAATATTCTAAGAAAATTTGAATTGAATTTATAATAGAGTAGTTAAAATTGAAAATTTAATCCCTTTTGGGAAATTGGAACTACATAAGATATTAATAAATAACGATGGTTTTTTTTACATATGATTTCGCAACATCCGTGAACATCTTTCCAATTAAGAAGGCAGGCAAAATAAGATTTGAGCAGCAAGCAAAAATTATCAGCAAAAGTAAACATTTCCTCTGTAATACATTTAGCAAGATAAATGATAGGTCTGCATTGTTAATGACTCGAGATAGCTTTTTACGGTAAAACATTTTACGGAAAAGATTAAATTAATAGATAGATCAATAGCAAAATTGAATTTAATAACTATCGACAATACGCATGAATTTGTGAGCCTAATATAGCCTAATACATGGCGCGTGCTCGGCGAATCTGAATTTCTCTCGTAATATCTCTTTTTAATCTCGTGACATGCTTACCGAACAGTAACACATCGGCATCATCGCGGAAGCGTGATAAAACCCATTAATCAAACGAGATATATCTTCAATCATCCGCTCGACGATGTAAAATATCTGTGTGCTTAGCGTTCAACGAGGATACGAGAGACATTAATGCGCATTATTCCCGTTATTAAAGTGCGATATCGAATCCCACATCTTAAAAGCCTGCGCGTGTAAACGCCGTTTTACTGCCCGATATAACTTACCATTATCCGTAGCACAGTTGAATATTTACCTTCAATTTTTACCTTCCGACAACTATACCTACGTCGCGTTAAATCTCGATGCCTCGGGTGCGGTCGATCGCTTGGGGACTTCACAACGCAGTGATATTAAAAATATCTGTAATTTTATTTCAACTTTGACCGGAGCGAGGCAGTTACAACAATATTAATTAAAATGTTACGATATTGACACACGTAACACTTCATATATATTTTTCCGCTCGCCTTCGAAGCGCCGCGTAACGTCGATATGTCATGCAGAAACGCACCGTGAGCATCGTTACGTCTCGAGGTAGAACGCACGTGGCGCGTAATCGGCGTAATGGCAAATACATAGGTACAATCGTGTTGTCGATGGATTAATAACGCGCGATACGGTATTACGAATCATCCGCGGCATCCGTTACAACTAATCGTTCTCTCGGCCAAGACTCCACTCGTCCTGTGCCCTGTGTAGTTGTACTTTTTATCTAGTGTATAATATTCATTTATCGCCCAGCGATAATCCGAACAGTGAATAATGTTACATCGTGCGTTATACGTATCACAGCTTGGCACCAAGAAAGTCAATCAATTTTACATAAAACTCGCTACGTTCCTTTCGATCGGTCCCGATCGGGGACAGATCGAACGTAAATGTACAATATCTTCATGATTTTTAAAAGTTTGAGCCAGTTATAGTACGACTTAATATATCATTAATTTATCTTTCACGTTTTGTTATTTAATATTGGTCGGATACGCTAAACATCACGTCATCTAGACTAGACTACTCGTCCCGACGTGCTGAATGGTAACATAAACATTTCAAACGCGAAGTAGCAAAGAATTAAATATTCTTTTTTTTTTCATTTCCCTAGGAATGTATATCTATATCTATGTTGTAGTTATCGTCAGTGAGCTGCGTTTGACGGGATCGCCTTCGTTGCCTCCAAAGCTGCTTGCTGGCGCTGATACCTGAGACAAATATTAATTCGGTAAAGTTAAAGTCCTCGGAAAGTGGCTAGAGGCAAAGTCGCGCGATATCAAACGATATAAATTATGCGGGTAGTCGTGAGCAAAACAGGAAAATACTGACAGAATCGCTTAACCAATTCCTGCGACAGCGTTAAAAGAATTTTTGCAGAAATAAAATTTTTATCTCATGAAAATAATCAAAGACTCGTTTCTATGTCAGGTAAACATGAGACACAACGATAGCAATGATAATGCAATGATATTTGCAAGGTGTAGAAACGAAAATATCAAAGGGTGAATCTTATATAGAATTTTACTTGCGTCGAGGTAATTACCTCAGGGATCTCGTTATTTGGTATATAGCCGTGAACGCAACGAAGAGGTTCACGCTAAAAAGATTCCAGTTTTTCGGCGTGATGGCTAAGGAGTATCTGGTCCAGATCAACCCCGTGATGCCCAAGGCACAAGACTGGCTGATGGAGATTTTGTTCACTGGCCTCGTCAAGTCACCGAGGCCGGCGATTACGAGGCCCTACAAATTGTAGAAGGAGTGATTTACATGATATCTTTTGTTATCAGCCTTATCTTTTTTTTTTGCATGCGCGAAAAAATCGACGAATCAGTACGACACAGCACATTCGCTTCAAGTTTGATTGTATTTTTTAATGTGTTTTTTTTTAGACATGTATGTAGACAAATATAAATAAATATATCCGCTATAAAACAGATTTAAATAGCGCAATGACAATCGAATAAATCGTTCCGTGTTTTGTAATGTACATCGCGAGATTTATATTTATATCATTTCTTTATTTATGTTACTTTTGCGTTCTTTACAGTACGATACATGAAATGTCATACGTTAAAATGAATATTTCATAAAACCGCGTTTCAAGCGTGAAAATATTTTTGTTGGAAAGACAAAATGTGCACATATTTATTTGTTTCTGAAAATTGCCGCATACCCATTGAACTGCAATGTTATTTATTATAACACGAATGAACGCAGCATTCGGAGTATTTTTGTATAACGTATATCTGTTTGCCAACGTACGTTAGTAGCAACTGCTTTGAAACAAAATTGTGTACCTGCATGCAAGCTATTATTCAATCGCGTGACGTTTTACGACGCTTTTAAAATGATGAAAAGAATAAAATAAAAACTAGGCGAATAAGAACGAATTTTAAAGCTAAAAGAAAAGTTTCAAAATTGAAGATATTTATTACGGAAAATCTACGTTCTGGACGTTTACGTAACGTCGCTCGAGTGCTCTGGATCTTTTCCGTTCGTTCGCTACTCGATTAACTTATCAGAATCACGACACGGGTCGGCAATATCGATATTAAGAGAATGAAAACATTACTAACCCATTTGAAGGCCGGTGCCCAGAAGAAGATGGTCTGTGGACCTAAAAAAAAAAAAAAATTAACACGCAATGCAATCGATATGAATTGCGGAGGAGCACGTTGTAGTGACGCAAGGCTTCGTGTTCATGCTAAATCACAGTCAGCTTGTTTTCCATTCAACTATCTTTCATACAATTCTTTTAAGACGCTCGACGTTCGCAGCAATTAGGACGAAACGGAAAATATAGAAGACATAGAAGATGAATAACGAAATACATATCGCTCATTTGTTACAACAACGACATAACTCAAAAATTGTCATTTTTGAACTGTTTGCAAAAGAAAGGTATAAAAATTCAATACACTGAATAAAAAGCTAATATATGGTTAGATGTTTTTGTTCCTCTACAATCAGTTATTGCACCAAAATCGTGTTTTAAAAGTAATATTACCAAATAATGATTCAAAACATTCAACCTTTTGTTTTGGGAAAATTTTGTTCTCCGAATTATCTCATTGTTGTAGCAAATGAGCGATATATATATTAAAGGCGATATATGATAAAAAAGAAAAGGGAAAGGCAAACGGAGCAAGAAGAGTCAGCTTCAAAGTACAGTTCCACCGTAATGTAACATATATAACACGATAATCAATGCCCGGTTATTGATGCATTCCCGTGCATATACCCTTGAATCTATTCGCTCCATCTATTCAAGCTTCCGCTCCGATAGTCCGATAGCTACCTAATTGTAAGTAAATTCGTCGGAGCAACTTTGACACAGACGTGACGTCATTGCGGCCTCGTTTCCATCCATTACAATTCGGTGAAGGTACCGACCTACCGACTGCCTCCCGTCTGGCTTGGCAGCTACGCGAAATGGCACGAATTGATGGAAAATAGGGCAACCCGATAGTACTTACTCGCAGAATGAATAAACACCGACACTCTCGGTCATCGGGCTCGCGGCTCGCGATCTTGCGCCTAATAATAATTTCGTTGTATATTGCCTTACGCTATATCACGCCGATCATTCAATCTTGAAATGTAGCCTTGCCAAAGCTAGAAATCTCACACGTTATTAAATGTGCGATTTAATCAATGATACTATCAGTGCTAGTATTATCAATGTTAGTGAATTTTTTATAAACTCGAGAAAGTTCACGTGATGTGATATCGGATCAGCCTGTGAATTCACGCGCACTAATGAAATGAGATAAAACTTCGATGCTATTTCTTTAATCAATGATATGGACTTTCACTTTTCACTACGATTTATCGGCAATTTTCGTTTATTTTTCTTTCGATTCTAAGAAGCGTATTTGCGATACACGTGAACTTAAATTAGTCTAGTATAATAAGATTGCGAAAGTGCTAAATGTCTTCGTGTAAGGCCAAGGTTGAAAATATCGCTACCAATGAGCTACGTCTCGATTTATAGCAAATGAAGGGAAATGTAATATGAAAATTGAAGCGAGCGACACGTTCATTAATCCAGAATGTAGACGTGGACTAATTTAAGAATGCGACCTCGAGGAGACTGCATTGTAAAGAGTAGGGTGTTCACGCGCCGTCGGCAAGTCGCCAAGTCTTACGAGTAACGATATCAATATGCGGAAAAAGTGTTTGCGTCATTAGCCGATAAACGAAATAAAACTAGATTGGAGAGACAACACATTTCCACACTGATTTATCGTGACTGCGGTAAATAATAATAATTAACCCGTAATTACTCGCGGTAATCAGTAAACGAAACTTAGAAATATACCACAATCGATTCAAAACGAAAATCAGGAGTGCGGAGCGAACGATTCACCAATCTCGGGGAGGACGATATTATTTATCTGGAAAACCACGTCACGTCCGGTGCATCTCTCGTTTCTCTCGCAATCAGTCCGTCACGCACGCACACACGCACACACACGCGCGCCGACGCGACGGCACGTGCCACCTGCTCGGCCCGAACGCGACGATCGACCGTTTTACCAACCAGCTGGATGTTTCCACAGAGGCTGCAGCTTCTCGGGCACGAACTTGCCGATGGCGTTCATCGAGTTTTTGTAGATCACTGACATGGCTTAGCGTCGGGGTCGTCGGACTCTCCGCGGATGACTCGGCGCGTAATCGGAAATCGAGCGCGAGCGCGGTCGCGAAATGCGGCAAAGTAGCGACGGACAGGCGATCACAACAGCATCCGCGCGCCACGACCGAGAAACGCCAAGTGCCCGGATTGGTCGGTCGCGACGCTCGCGTGGTTGCTCCCCTCGACCCACCTCGACCTTCTCGTCTGCTCGCCAACGTGTGAGCTAGCCTTGCGGAGTAGTGGCTGCGGCTGCCCGTTGAGACCTCGTCGGAGTCGCGAGATGGACAGGGTATGCCACTGTACAGTGTATCGTATACACACGTACGCGCCAGACTTAAAATATTTCCTAGCTACCGCGGCCGACGAAGATCTACGATGCGGCCACAACGCGATGCTACTACGAAAATTATGGGGGTGGGACACGGGGGTGGCTGCAAAGCTGCACTTCACGTGTAGATATAGACGACGGATCGATGGAAAGTTTCCGGGTACATGAACTTTCGTTGAGAAGTTCAAATTTTGAAGAAATTATATTTTTCTATTTTTCGCAGGGTTTTTTTTTGCTAAATTTTGAAATGCAAATGTAGTTTGCGGACGCAGTTATGCTTTAAAGGAATTATAAGAATATTTTCAATTTAATTTTGGAAACTTTAAGAAGACGCATATGAACAAGCTCGTCAAATTTTAAAAAATTTTGAATTGTAAGAATTATAAAATTTTCCAAGTTTTATAATTGTAAATGAATAGCATTTCATAATGCTAATCTCACAGATGATAAATATTAAATAAGATCACGCTATTTACATGATAAGAAAAATGTAGACTGAGAAAAGCATGCAGAAGACCTTGCAGAATATAAATGACGTTATTTTTTTTTTCTATAAGTGATCAAACCTGATTGTATATGTATAATCTGACGATAGATATGTATCAGACTGGTATGGTAGGCGACCTTGCGGAAGTGTGACTGCTGACATTGGCCGAGAGTTCCAAATCGGACGCTCGGATGTTCGCCAAGTCGACTTCTCTCTTACGACATTTAAATTCTCTATTAATAAAACACAGTGTATTTGTTCCGCAATGCCATTTTTAGAGATGATTATATAGTTTCGAACATAATATTTATATCTGCATATCTGCTGAAAAGAAAATAATAATCGAGATAACTTATTGCTAAATTATGTATCGTATAGATCAATGTGATAAAAAAGGATATATCGTACATAAGAAGCACATTGTTGTGTTTGTACACAATTTTTATTATATCTATACATATTTTCTAACAGACTTAACTTTCTCATCAAAATACGAATATTGTAAATAAATGTACAAATAAAACGCAAGTAAAAAATTGAGCTCGGCATCAGAATATAAAATTATAGAATGCACATCATCATTGCACCACCCAATTTTCTAATTATGTTGTTTCTAAATAACTTGCGTGGGCTCGCAATACTTTTCATCAAATCGAGGACAGATTCGTATCTAATAAGATTTGTTATCGGAATAAGAAAAGCGAAACCTGTCGCCGATATGTCGTGTTTTATGCCGATAATTTATTTATTAATTTTTTTTCGTCATAAATCAAGATCCATAAATGAATAAAACGAACTTTTCAAGTAATTTGATGTATTACAGTTATCATAACGAAGTAGGACGTTCGAATTAGATACGATCTGATTGTAATTTACAGAAAAAGATGTACATGTATAAATGCACATTACAGCCCTGTATATGCATATAGGATTCTTACTTGCTATCTTCTATATTTATGTACGAAGTACAAAAATATATGAGATCAACTAAAGTTCAACTCTCTGTTAGTGTGATAATTCGACGAGATCAACAGAATCAACCATGTTTCATTTCACGATGCCAACAGAGAGTCGAGGGAGTCGAAAAATTGGGATACATAAAAAGGTGATAAAAACACGGAATCTGTACAAAAAAGATTCTAGCGATAACAGAGAGTACTAATTCTTACATAACTATGGGACGCGATCAGGTGTTCGCGTATATAAATTATTTTCTCGACTCTTATGTTCCGAGTTCCGAGCATTAAAATAAATATGATTAAGTAGAATAAGTGGAGCAAAGTCTTGATCACAATAGAGCTTTGATGTAAAGACGTCGTTTAATATTACATGTATGTACGTCTTTAACCCTTCGCCCGTAAACTGGGTCATAAATGGCACAAGCCGAAATTCAAGATAGAATACCGCCGAAATGAAAAGGGGGGGGGGGCTTGCCGTCCCTCGTAAAAAAAGTAGGTAGTGGGGAGAACTCATGCCCAAAGTTTCGTTGGAATTCGCCAGTGTGTGCTTGACCAGCAGCGAGTCAAAGTGCGTCCAGTGCCACTATTGACCCAGTTTACGGACAGTGCCAGACTTTCGTGCAAGTAAGTAAAATTAATTTAACGTCATTTTCATATTACTACAGTTATTTTTAACTTATATAAGTGATATTTTTTTATGATTGTGTATATTATATATACCTATAACCTCAAAATTTGAGTGGATGAAAACACGTGTAAAAAGAAATTACATGTACTTTCAGGGTACAATGGATGATCAAGCGACAAATATCAGATATTATTTACGAGAAAGACGATTTTATATGATTTTTTAATAAAATAATGTAAAAATTACGTTAAAAGTCTTATTTCTCCTTAACCCGAAAAAGGCCATTTTCAATCCTCAGAATAATTATACTTTTTAAAAATGACCCATATACAGAATTTTTTTCTTGAAAGTACACATATTTAACTATAAAACCTCGTTGGAATTTTTTATTTTGATTTAAAACTCAATGAGATATGATTTTTTTAATAAAAATGGATTTTTATCAATTTTTTGCATAAAGAATTATTTATAAACAATTTATCTTATAATGAATCGCTAAATAAACTTTGGGATTATAAAATAGGATAGTATACAAGTATTACAGAATTTTTTCAGATTTTTTGAACACTATTTACTAGGTCAAAATAACGACAGGACATTTATGACCCAGATTACGGACGATGCCAGTCAAATTATAGTTTACGGGCGAAGGGTTAAAGTAGATATCAAATTTTGTGATTTTTTTTACACGTATCTTTGCCCCGATGCAATCCTACACATGTTTCACATGTTCATAAGGCACATGAATTATGTATAATTCAACAATGTCCTGTGCGATAAAAGATTATTACATATGTTTACTTAATATTGTTAGACATGTTGATATCGTATGTATACATACATATACGAAACATGGCAACTATTCGACTCGATGGATACAGTATAATTCATGAACTGTCATGCTCATCAGTCTTTGTTTCATTCTTAATACAAGATTGGTATAAAAAACGATATAAAATCTAATATATACTACGAATACATAACCATCTGATACAAAAAGTACTAAACTTATGTGAAGATTATTCATTCGAATAATATTCCTGGCCATATTACATTCCTAATTATGTACATACGATCACAATTGACTTCAAATATTTCCATACATATTTATAATACATTTTTCACAATTAACATGAACGTTATGTTTAGTTCTGTTAAAATTATATATCTGAAGTCGTTACAAGCGTTAACAGAATCGCGATAATTTTGATTATATATACGTAAAAATAAAGCGAACTGATATATAAAGATAAAACAATTTTTGTTTAATTTTTGACATTTTATAATTTTTTTGTGAGGGAAATTTATTTAAATATTATCATATATTATCATTGCACGTTATCATGCGTCTTAAAACGATTATTACTTGTTCGATATCCATATATGCAAGGATTATTAAAATTTCTGTTAAAATCAGCAATAAAATATTTACATAATTTTCTCCCACAAACGATAAGTATAATTAAAAGAACATATGTAAATAATATATGTATAAAATCGTTCCAATTTCGAAAAATGTATTAGTAATCACAATATTTGATTAAACTTGATTAACATTTTCCGAGATATAAACGCGTTCAATAGAAAAGCTAAAAATGCTATAGCTTATAAATGTTCAATTATACAAGAGCATAGAAATGTATCTGTAACGTATGTACATTTTTGGCAGCTTAAAATATTTATGTAGGATTTATGAATGGCACAAATACAGTCTGTGATACAAGAATGTATGAGCGCTTCAAGCCAGTCTACATTGTTATCAATTATTGCCTGGTTTTTCTGTATCTTCAGTAGTGCTTTCAGTAGAGGAACAGTAACGGTTTTACATACAGTCATGTGTTACTTTATAATAAACTTTATATTAAATAATAGCATGTGTGGAGAGACTATACTTAATGATCTTTCAAACGAGATGAAAAGCTTTGAGGCAATAAAAAATTCAAGATTATAATATGAATAATCGCTCGTACAATCTTGCACGACAGATTACATATGTATACGATCCTGCTATTTTTTATAATATATTGTAGCTATATACTGTTGTTCGTCTATATATATATGTAGTAAAAAATGTTACTTTAAAAATTGTCAGAGAAATGTATTTAAAAATCAGCTTTACGTAAGCATTGGAGTTAACCTCTTGTTAAATGCAAGTGGCAGTAAAAGACATTGCTATAAATAGATGTATAGGTACTTTTTATCAACATTAGTTTGATCACATGTGACAATAACTATATAAAACATGTCTCCTAATATATACACTTCATTAAAATGACACATTGATACGTGTATTTTAATGGAATTCGTGTAATTGCATCATCGTACCATTTTATATCAAACCTATAAAATTTTCTGCCGATAGAAACGAAGATTTTTATGTTATGGACAAACAGTACAGCATCAATACATAATTTTTTTTTTCAATTTTCTATAACAACATGATCACGCTAAATTGCCACATTGCATTGCAATATGGCAATTTAAATTAATTTTATAATCAATCTGTATCTGAGATAGACTGATTATGATCAATCAGTTTAAATGTATTAACAGATCCGTACATGTCAACCATAACAAATTTACTGAAATCTGGAGAGATACATACTTTAGCATCTCGGCTTGGTGGTAATTCGACAATCGATAGTAATTCTGGCATTTTAGGATCTCTGCCTATTTTGGTCATCCAATATTCCATTCTCCTCGTACTATAGTACTCGTCAATGTTACTCGTACCAGCTGCACTCGATGTCGCATCGTCTTGTAGATTAGATACACCAGTATTTATGCTTCGGCTGTTAGATATTTGTGAATTCAAAAATGCATTCGTATTGAATGAGGGAGTGCTTGCACTGTGCCTGATGCCCATCCGACTTCTTTTCACATTCATTTGGCTTCTTCTCATGTTGTTCTTTGCTTGATCAACGTTCCACCAAACTAATTCATCGTTTGTCAATGATAATAAAATCGGAACCTTTATGCCAGCTGGAGCCCAATACAATTGTGTAATGGGATTAGTGTGAAAAGATAATTGACAATAAATCTCCGTCGGCTTTTGTATATCGATAATCTGAAAATAAAAAGCAAACGATATTAAACTCATACTGTATAATGCACAAATTAATTTATCATAAAACAGACTTACAGAAATTTTTCCTGATTCAAAGCCAACAGCGACATATTGTTCATTTTTTGAAATATCACAACAAGTCACGTTCTGTGCGAAACTATACTTAAAACAGGGCTGTTCTTTAATGTGTACATACATCAACCGTGCTGTCATGTATTCGTGGATAATACATAATAATGTTAAATGACGCGATTCATTCAAAATCGCCAAGTAATTTTGATTGTAACTTAAACAGCTGAATGAAATACATGAAGATGGATAAGACAAATCTATTTGGCTCTTTAATTGCCAAGGTATATCAATATACCATATCGTTATTATGCCTTTCTTCGTTACTGTTATAACATAGTCGTCGTTTATTTTGTGAATGTCGTTGATAGGTTCTGCTTTAGTATCAATTCCAAATATCGGTCCACAATGTCGCCATACCTGTTGATAAATAAACATTTGAATTTGTTTAGTATTTAGTATTTACAAATTTAGATAGATAGATTTTCGAGGTGTTTTATGGCGGCAAAGATCTCATCCCAACTGGGATGACACGTAACTCAGCGTGAAGGCGGTCGATTTTTAATCAGGGGATCCCTGGTTTAAGTCCAGCCCTCATCCCGCATGAATCTCTCAAGTTATGAGATACATTAGAAAGTTTTGGTGCGAATATAAAAGAAGTAAATTGTAATTCATTTCGGGAGCAAATAAATTTACATTTAAATAATTATTAAAACACCTAAACTAATGACAAATTAGAAATAGAGAACTGTAACGTATTCTCTGGCGATACAAGAGATCTGTAGTGCATTCTCTTTGATACTCTCAGAAATTGAAGTTTCTATTGTTTATAAGATAAGTATATAAACGCGGCACGATGCAGCGTGATGCTTGCTGGTTAATTAGCTCAGTGATAAAACAGTTATTTGTGAAACAAAAGGTTACAATCTGTACAAAATTCTTTCTTGTTCAAGTCACCTCGTATGAGAAATTTACGTGGAACAATATTGTTCCTATAAAGAAACCAAAGACAAATTCCATGATAATTGGAATAGTGTTCTACATCTTATAATGACAATTAAAATAAAAAAGGTATATATGTACACGAAATTCTGTATTTATAATAGCAGAAAGGAATAATAAAAATTAAACAAAGAATTTAATATACACACCTTCAATGCATACTCCTCCTCTTTGCATAATACCGTATTACAGCAACTCAGGTTAATAATTTTCACGAACTGGATTGGCCTTTCTAACGTTGCGACCAGCATAGTTATTCCAGTTGTTGTATTTAATAATTGAATGCAATTGTCTGTAACATACAGTGCCTGTTCTCCATCGGTAGACAATTGCAGGCTTGATATTCTGCCTTCTATATATGCAGATTCCTGTATTATATCTTTTCCACGTGACACTATAATTTTCTTCGAAGGGCTCTCTTTGACTACAATGTCCTTGTTGTCATAAGATTCGACAACTGCGTCAAATAAGCACTTCCTAGTTTGATAACAGAGAAAGATTGTCATACGGTTTAATTAAAAGTTTAAAATATAAATATATAAAGTAGTTGTAAATAATCTTCAATATTAAATTACCTCGGTAATTCATCTGATTCTTGTACCGGAAATTTCCACTTGTATAACACTCTATTCCCGTTCCCACATATCTAAAATTACCACATAGCAAAAAATTTTTTAATTTCAAAGATTTTGAATTTGATTAAATATAATGGAATTAGTATAAGAATGATACGTACAATATGATAGCCTTCGTCTTTTAACCAGTAAGAATCCAAAGATATAACGCGACTTTTGTAAGTCGCGATCGGTTGATATCCAGAATAGGTATTCCATACATTTATAAAACCCGCAGAGTCAGCCAGTATTATGTATTCCCCATCATATGTAATAGTTGCGCTTACATAAGTTACTGTATCATTATCGACAAACCCTCTCGTCTGTTTGTCAAAGCTATGCACGCAATCCTCACCCCACCATTTTACGTACATAGCTTCTTTTTTGGTGACAACCATCAAGGAATTGTCACGGTTGGGTATATGATGAAAGAAGATAACTTCTTCAGCTGCAGATTTCAACCGCAGATTATAACAGGCAAGATATCGATAAGTAGTATAGTCATTCCCGTAGCTTGAATAGAGAACAAAAACACCCTTTAGCTCATCCATTATATGTAATAAGGAACCCTGCGCCGTAAAAGCTATTTTCGGTATGTACTGACTGTAACAAACGTATGCCATGTTACTTATTTGTACACGGGTTGTCTCTGTATCAATTTGTATGTATATAATTGTACTTACTATTTTGAATCTCTTAAAGTAAACACTACTTTTCCATATCGGTCCCATATCTTAAAAAAAGAAAAAAAAAGACATTATGCACACTTGAATAATACATTATACATTATATCAAAATTTTTATTTTCTAATAATATAGTAATAAATAAAGAGCACTTTGTTTCATAAAAATATCATAACAAATTAAAATTAAATACCCGAATCGTTGCTTTGTCAGTGCATGCAGCGATGTATTTATCCTCGTGACCAAATGCCATATCCAGTATAATCTCATTTTCCACCGAGAATTCTGTTAAGCTATCATCCTGATCATTCGCATTTGTAAAAAAGCCAGACCAGGAACTTTGTTTTTGTCGTGGGCTATCAACGTGCGTGTAATGCTGATCAAATATTTCATTGTTGTCATTCGACAGAGAGAATAACTTTATTATACCAGCACTGCTTAACGATAAGAAACAATCACCAGCCGTCGACACAATAACTTTTTTAATAGAATAGCCCTCTTTATGACCGTTAAAAACTTTTTGTTGCTTGCTTTCAGAATTCCACAGAATTATTTTACCCGATGTATTTCCCGTCAAAATTAATTCAGGATCGTCTGTGAAAGATGATGTGCAAATGCCCGTTGATATTTCTTCAGTCGTCGACATATTAGCATATTGGGGACTTTTCTTGTGAGATAAGTACAAGTAATTTTGTCTTGTCATAGCTAGATTTTTTGCAGTTTGAGCGACGTAACCTTCATATGGATGATCCATCGCGATTTGAATGATATCCAAGCATTTTTTACGTTTATGTTCTACTATAACACTTGCTTGCTCTTGAAGAAATCTTTCTATATCAGAGACCTTTTCTACATAGTCTTCTTGCTTGTCGGATGACGTAATGTATTTTCTATACTTTCTCAGATCTAGCAATAGATCATTCAAACCCGCACATATTAATTTAGCTTGAATAAAATCAAAATTTAAGTAAAGGGGCTGAAATTCTTCAAACAATTTTGCTTGCTCCAAATGGTAGCCAATATACGAGTAAATATAATTGTCATCCGGCAATTTTGAAAAATCATTATTGCAATATGTGCGGTATTTTTCAATAATAGATTTATGCATCTGTGTCAATTCGTCAGGAGTTTGTTTCTTTCTGAGATGGTATAGCAGTAAATCATGCACGCCATAAATATAGGTTTTTAAATCATTATTCCACTTTTTGGCTGCAAGTGATTTATGGCACAAATCCAACATTAGTTCTTCAACTTGGAATATGTCTTGTTCCCAAAAAATTTCTAGAGTCTAAAACACGTTAAATTGATATAAAATCAAAAATATGTATGAGAGATTATACATCAATTTAACAATAAATTTTAAAATATATACCTTCGGAGTTATGTTAACATCTTCGCAAAAAATAGCTAAGCTCTCGTAACGTTTTTTCAAATCTGGTTTTAATTGCTCAATACATATATCAAAAATAGTTTCTTGTTTTTGTAGAAATTCTCTCATTACTCTGTAACACATGATACAATAAAATCAATATTTTAATATAATCAATGCATTATCTTAAGAAATTATATGTATATACTTGTTTGTTGCATCTTTTTTCCTTAATGAACTCAAGTAATATCTCCATCTATCAGGATGTTCTTTCATGTGGTGTTTAAATTCTTCAAATTGTGCAGCAAACATAGCTATGAGTAATGGCATTCCTTTACATTCTTCATGAATTTTTTTTGCTTCTATAGGCAATTCGTTCACATCCATTTCCAATACTTTGGCAAATAAGCCTAATGTCTCTGCTTCTGTAAATCCGTCGTTCATCTGAAAGTGACACATTATTTTTCATTATAATAATGTAATAAATACATTTATATATTTCAATATATAATAAATACAAATATAATAAAAAATATCACACCTTTATTATCTTAGGTCTTTTCTTTTGTAGAACATCAATGTCGGCAGTGAGAACTAGAGTTTTACATTTGAAATCAAAAGTGGTAATAATCTTTTTATCATAAACATCATCTAAGATCAATAAAGCGTTGCAATTTTCTTGTTTATTAAAATAATGTTTCAAATAATGGATCAAAGAATCTTTCTCCAGTGGAGTAAATAGTTCTGGTTGGATTTCTAAATTTCTCACGTTATGATAGAGTGAGTTTAATTGAATTAATATTTCTTCATCGATTAAACGATCACATGTAAATTTTATCCAGTAGACTTGATTCTAAAAAAAAAAATAGTTTTATGCAAAATGTAATATATTAATATTATATACTATATGTCTAAAATAATTAATAAAAAAATATCATACGGAAAATAAATCTTTCACTAATTTTGCATCCTTGAGAGCACTGGCAACCAGACATGATTTTCCAAATCCTTTCATGCCATGTAACGCAATGTATGCTGTGGGAATTAACTGCTGTAAAGCTATCTTTAACTGCTCAACCTGCAAACACAATGCATTATATAATAAACAGTTTTCATTTTATATATCAGAATCATTTATTATGATGCAATACAATGGCGAATTTTGGCACTTTAATATCGCTGAAACATGATTTGAGGATTTCTAATAGTGAGGCTCTAAGTGCGTGTCTATAGTGCGCCTAATGAAAAATCCGCCACTAGTGCATTACATACAAAAATGTATAGTGAAACATATAATGAAAAACACTGAAAAAGTCAAACTTACGCGATATATGTTTCCATACGTATGCATAAAGAGGAACAGTTAAATTAAATAAGAATTAAATAGCCTATTACAACGAATTATATCTAAATACACGGGATTAAATATGTTACTGGAAATTTTTAAGAATAAAAGCTGATTTTATTGTCTATTAAAAAAATATTATTAAAGATTATATCAAATTTATATAGCAATACACGATGCTTATATATTGCAATATGCATTACAGAAGTAAATGAAATGTCAGATAATCAATAGTTTATAGTTCATAATTTTATCTTATCATTGACGGTACGACTACAATCGAGAGATAAAGTCAGAATGACTCATACATCTTAACACATTGTATGTATGTATATTACAATATAGATAATTATACCTTCTCTTCTCGGGTAACTGTCAATGGAGAAAGGGGTGGAATGTTAGGAGGTCCAGCATAATAATCTATCTCTCCATTGGTTTCTATCTCATAATTGCCTAACAATTTATCTATTTCATCGCTAAGCCATTCGTAGTGATGTTTTAAGGATTGATGAAAGACATCAAAAGCACGTGGGCCACATCTTAAAAATGTTAACACGAACACTTAATGAAATCAGTTTACCGTGTAAAATGCATCGTTAACTAAGAATGCAAATTATAAAAATGATAACTAGTGAGATATAATTTCTATTATTATTAGTAAGTGCAATAACATTAAAATAAAAAAAGTGTGAAATTTTGCATAATATATGTGCGAATATAACAACAAATATATACATAAATATACATACCTTGGTAGTATATCTAATAACCAGCCTGCTCTCGCTTCTTTAGTGGCTCCAGAATAAATTTGTTTTACATCCTCTTGTCGTAAGATATATTCATTTCTTAGAGGCTGTATGATGTCATTATCTATATCTAAATCATCAATTATGTTCTCCCTCAAACGAATGAGGATGTCTCTATGTGACTTCTCCATTTTTATAATCAAAATTCGCAATGCAAAATCCCGTGATTGGAAGTTACTACAAATTTCAGTGCAGTTCTGAAATAAATAATTATCTCTGTTATTTTAATAAGCATCAGATAATTTCAATACTTAAGAATAAACTGCAATAATGTTATTTGTAATTGCGATAATGTAATTTAATCTTTCAGAACTAAAAAAAGTCAACATCACTAAACTAAGAATAAAATAATACATTATATATATATTTTTTGTTAATTAATTTACTACTTTTCAATATTACAAAATTATATAAGATTTGTTTTAGCAATAATAACAACAATATATAACATTTGGCAATAATCGATATTGTGATATATACATTTTTGCGTCACTCCATCATATTATCCCCTTTATTCCTTTTTTTCTGCATCTTCAACACTACGATCTCTTCATTTCATAAAAAAAAGAAAAATCTCATACAAATTTTTATTTCTATTATACAGATAAATAACATAAATTGACAGTTAATTCTTCTAACATGTTTATGATCGTATATGCAAATGCTGCCTACACACATTAGACACAATTCTTTTATGTAAGCGAATATTCGTTAGGAACCGAGCGCGTTTTTTCATCGAGATATAAACAAATATTTATAAAAACTATTCGTAAAAAATATACAATTTAATAAAATAATTGAATTGTACATCTCAAAATCAGACATAAATATTAATTTCGTTTTTTACAAATATATAATTCCTTTACAAAGATAAAATAAAATAAAAATCAGAAGAACATTACTAACATCCAATTACAACAAGAGATGTTTGAAAGAAATATGTATGTGTGTACATTATTTAAATAACATTTAAAATGGAAAGATTATAATCAAAATTATTTACACAGTTCAATAGGCAAGCATTTGCGTCACAAACAAAAGATGTAGTACACCAGTTTATTGGGAGCTTTCCAGGAAGCGACATAAGTCGCCACAAACGTCCGTCGTTCTAATATGGAGTATGGGTGCATTCCGTTTCACACATAATTCGCATAATGCATCATGTTGTTCATCAAATGTTAATTAAACAAGGATAAATTAAGATATCTTTAAGATATCTTTACGACGTTTTATGCAACATGCATGTTTATCTGGGATGATGCATTATGCGCATCATGCGTGAAACGGAATGCACCCTATCTTTCTTTTTTGGCAATAAGTCACAAAGCAAAACGACACTTGTCGACTTGTGTCGCTCGCTGGAAAGCCCCCATTTTATCTTAACTTACGAGAAAATACGCATTACTGTCTCATCAGTCGTGAAGGTTTGACAGAACAGAATATTCATGAATCATGCGTATGTACATGATACGATCTTTAACCTCATTTCGGGCATGGCACTGATAAAATTTTTATCTTTATTTCTTTTTTTCTATATTAACGTGCACCTCGAGGCTGTACAACCGGAAAAGAGATGATCGGAAAGAAGATTAATCGAAGAACAGGTTTAAGAATAAATCGAAAAATGTTACCGTTTAGCTTCTTCGTTTTTGAGAGAAATGGAAAATTAACAAACTAACAATTAACAGACAATTAACAACGCATTTATATTTTTGTTAAGCTTCTACGTATTTTGCGTTATACATCCTCTATTAAAAAAGATGAATCTTGGATATTTTATTTGTATATAATTTTCTCGAGAAACTTAAATTACTTTAAATTGTTAATTTTAAATCGATCGTTACAGTTTTTTATTTATGTATTAGTTACCGCCGTTGAGGCGAATTCAACGATGTATTGCGAGAGCGTGAATTAAAGCTTAAAATATAAATATGTTATTAATTGTCCACTTCTCACTTTCTTTTCGTTTATATCATGATTTCCTATGTATATTCTGTAAATCGGAAGGTAGAAACGGTGATGAGAGAAAACTGGAAATAACGGCAAAAAATACTAGCGAAGAAACTCGAAAAATTCCTCGAAGTCGCGACTATCTTGAATAATATTGTGGTTATCGCGGACGCGACGGAAGCGAGTCAATGCTCTCGAATATCTCACAGCGATTCGATCGACGATCGAAGGACACATGATGGATTTTCGACTCGATCACGATCAATAAGAAAAAAAATTCTTCTCCGAATTTTCCACGCATGTGCGTCATATTCTCAAAATAAATATATACGCTCTTTTTTTTCTTCTCTTTTGCTTTAGGATTATTTTCGTATATTTTCGTTGGATAACGCGACGCGCAACACTACTCTCCTCTCATCTTACCTTTTTCCTTCTTTTCCTCACGTGTTGCCTTCCAGTATCGCCATTTTAATATTCTCGGCCGATGGTCCTCGTCATCCTCTTTAGAGAGCCAGATCTGTCTTGTCCAACTCTTTCTTCCTGACCATCCTTCCCTCCGCAAACAGACGCTACCGATCCGTTTTCGTATCCCCCGTCGAGGTGTACGCTTCACACGTTAATCGTTCGGATATAATGACTGATCCTTTGTAGGGGAAACGCTCTTTGTTCGAAGAATCTGAGTAATCTTCTGCCGTGACGACGGCACGACCCGTACACTGCACGGCTGACGAGCGACTGAGAAACGGGGAAACAGGTACTCCTCGCGACTCGCGACTCGCGACACTCGCGTCAGTGCCGTCGGGCCGTCACGCCGTCAGTCGCTTCGCGTGCTGGAGTTAATTAGAAGCGACGTTGCCGATATTGTTCGACGCTATTGTCAGATCCCGCGAGACCATTGGCTAGCACGAATCGCACGATGCGCGATGCGCGTGGCCACTGTCACTAGTGTCACTGTCCTGCCGCCGTTTCTATCGTTTCCGGAGGGAACGACGCGACACAAAGGCGCGTAATGACTGCGACATTGCTGTTAGAAAGTTTCCGAGGGACGGGCGATAAAAATGTATTCGCAGGACGATCTTGCCCGTCTGATTTGCAAGGTTACATTCACGCGCCTCGCACTCGTAAACCGCGACGTATCCACATATCCTCGAGAAGCTGCGAACCACCACAACAATACAATCAGCCAGTCATGGTAACATGGCGGCTGATGGGCGCGGGCGCGGAGCGGTGGTAGGAGAAAGGCAGTGCTGCACCTCGCTACACCATGAGCCCTGTTACAGAATTGAACGAGTTGATCAAATCTTACAAAAATAAGGAAAATTAGAGTAGCTAAGATAGCAGGAAGATTAGTTGTTCAAATATATTATATTTCCAAATATGATAATTTTTTTAAGACGAGCTTAGAATGGGGACTTTTAAATAATTTAAATAATTAAAACAAATATGCTGCATGTGACATGCTGTAAATTAAACATGAGCATTATGTAAAGGTAGAAAACCTTTAATATTGTTTCACTGATAATTTTATCCTGAATAATCCTATATCAATTTCCTAATAGACCTAATAAATATTTTTGTTACAAAATTTAAACTCCAGAATACGGCATATTAGGAGGTCCGAAGGCATACTCCGATATGGTCTAGTGGCTAGGATACCTGGCTCTCACCCAGGAGGCTCGGGTTCGATTCCCGGTATCGGAATTTTTTTTTTGTCTATATTTTTATATATGTATAATTATTATATAATAAGTTTTTGAACGCCGAATAATTTAACGCTTTCGTAAAATGTAATATAAAAATTATGAAGCAATAAAAAAAATTAACGCGACTGACAAAAATATATCCTGCGATGGCCGGGAATCGAACCCGGATCAACTGCTTGGAAGGCAACTATGCTGACCATTACACCACCATCGCAGATGTGAGTGAGTGCTTTCGGTATCGAGTTACTTGCTTCAATATGGCAAAGAAATAAATTGAAGTAAGAAAAAAAATATCTGCCACGATCAAGAATGAAAATTAACTGCTCGAAAAAGAGAACGGTGACCATTGTTGCATGACGGCGAATAAAATTTTAACGCGATTGTCAATATACGGCGGTGCAATGGCAGTCAATACGTTATATCCTTTTAGTGCTCTGAATATAAATTTATGCAAAATAAAAATAAAAAAAGAAACCCCTGCGATGGCCGGGAATCGAACCCGGATCAACTGCTTGGAAGGCAACTATGCTAACCATTACACCACCATCGCAAGTGGAAATGCAGCTCTACGTGAGTGTACACGTTGTCGAAGAAAGGCATTAGTGATTTACACGTTATCGTTAAACAGGTTTAGTAACAGGTGTAGTGTTAACGTCCTAAAACGCATTATTTACACGAAGAGATTTTATTTTATCTCCAAAGAAATCTTGAAATCTTGATCTTGTCAAAGAAAAATACAGCAAATATACTTTTTATAATTTTATTTTTAGTTGGTAATGCAATCATAACAACTCGCTTAGCGCTTTCACGTTTCTCTAAAACTATAGATTTATAATTTTGCATTGCCCTTGTCAATGGCTGCAAAGTAATAACAAGTATAACAACTGATGTTATAAAACCAGATTTAACCGTTTATACGACATTTTATGTCAGTATAGTCATATATAACGATTGATGTTATTAAACCTTATTAATGGTAACGTGTAAACGTAATCTAACAATAAGATATGGTTATAAGTTTATTTAACGTTGGAGGGTAGAAATGAGATCGAGTCGTGCATATTCGGTATGTTATCATATCCGGCATGGCATCATATCAAAATATTAGAACGAGGGGTTCAGGGAAGAAGTGCGGTTTTTGAGTGAAATATTTAGACGAGAAATTAGGAGGGGTAGAGAGAGGATGGAAGAAGTGCGTCGTTGCCACATCCCGTGTGCAAACATGTACAAACGTGTTCAAGGTCGCACTTCAACGATGCTGACCTGCGACGCAGTTTCCGAACAAAATGGCGGAAACGTCTTTCGACCGATTGCAGCTTGGCGCATTCGACGCTTGTCTTTATGCGTTTATGGGCCGCTGTTTCCAATGTCTGTTAACTTCTAACCGACCTTCAATTTTTCAGAATAGCCAATAATGGAGTTGGCTATTTCGATAGAATAGTCGGTTAGAAGTTAACAGACGTTGGAAATTGTGACCCATAAACGCATAGCGAGATTGTACACTGGCCGTCAACGATTCATTTTCTAAGATAAGGCGGGAACAAAAGTTCTAGTGACCTTAATAGAAGTATATCAATAGCATATGTTTAGGCTTCTATGTTCTCTTTCCAGGTATAGCAGAGTGACGTCAAATGACGTATTAATTCCGTCTCTCATTGACGTCTCTAACGTTAGTAAGACGCCTTTAGACGTCATCTTGCTATCTGGGCCTTATCTCAGAAAACATATTATTGTCGGCCAGTGTACGTGATGTAGAAGTATCTCTTACGTTAACAGGAAAATTCTTGATGTATTCCTTGTAATCGTGTACTTAACCATTCGTTAAAAGTCTTCTCTGTCATTACACCTTTCACAAAAGATGTGTATATTTTGTACGGAATGTGGTAACGAAAATTTATCGAAATTTTTTCTTCTCCTAACTTCTTGTCCTAATACTTTAATCGAATATGATATGATGTAACACTGGATATGCCCATGATCCGATCTCGTGCATTTCTTTCCTTCCCCCCCCCTCTCCTCAAATGCAAAGCAGCTTAAAAGAAGATATATTTTCCAACGCTCTCATTCGTCGAACCGGGCCCCCCTCGCACCATCCTCTATCCCCATCACCTTTTCACCGACGAAAAGGCCTTCTCCAAACCCCTGTTCTATCTCCTATAGCATTTCTCCCGCAATTCCCCCTCTCATCCCAATCCTCCGCCCAACATTGTGATTGTGAGTGACGTAATCGCTATAATTAGCTACTGGTGTTCTTTCTCTTCGGGCGATATAATAAAAAGTTTTATTCTTTGTAATTAAACTTTTTGCACTTTCTGTTTCTTTTTTTTATCTTTCCAATATGCAATTATACTTGTTTTATTTTAATTAAGTGCAATTATGAGGCACGAATCTAATGTTTACAGGCTACACCAGTTTTGTCGAATCTTTTATGACAATTGTTAACATTTTATATAAATACATTTTCAAGCAAAAGCATATATAATTAGAATACAATATAAGATTCATTAAAAAAAACATTGAGAACAAATCACGAATCAAACGTGAAACAGTTATTAACACACAGTAATTGGGTAACTCCATTCCGCGAAACGATTTGAGTACTATCGATTTTATATATCTACTTATTATAAGCACGTACACTCATTCGTGTTATACTTGTTGGACAGAAATAGTCGCTTATCGTATCTGCATTATGTAACACGTAAACTCCAAATATCGGTTTCATATTATCGGGATGCTACAAGTTCCTACTGATAAATAAACAAATTTTTAACGCAGGCATAAAATGACTACATACTATTTGTCAAACGACAAACAAAGATATTTATCGCTTCTTTATTTAATTATCTTTATACATTGTTTTGTCGAGTAACGCTGTCTAAATAACCTGTTCGTCTATTGTAAGTAAAATCCTATCTGCACACACCTCGTTAGAGTTTAATACTGATAATTTCAGACGACGGATAAATTTATATATAGATGATAATTCACCGTAAAGTCGATATCAATTATCGCGCCATTCAGTCTGCGGCAATTTAATCGACATCCAGTCGTACAGATACGGGATTTTTCATATGCAATATAACCGCCGGATGCATACCGGCGGATAATGAACGCACGCGGCGCATTGTTTTCCGCTCACCAATTAGGCAGCATTACCAGTCCGAAATGATGGGCTCGCCAATTAAGCAGCATTATCCGGCTCGAAACGAGACGACCCCCAAAGCTGCCTGCCAAACTGCCTTTATCTGCCAAAATTAAAAAACTTTAGACGCAATAAACTCAGACGTATATTGTGCACGATTGGGCATACGTACTTACGAGTTCTCACACGGTTTACAAAGTAGAGTGATTAAAGCTTGCCTTGATAAATTGACACTTGCGAGAATAGCGTTAAATAAATCCAACGATAAAGCTCTTATCGTCTCAAACGGAAGTGTTTTTCCCCGAAATGATGTAGACGCGCTTAGTAAATGACGATGTTGAACACACACGAAGCTCTGAATACAACGGGGTTGCGCGAAGCTGAAAAGTTAGATTAGATATCGGACGAATGCAATTAGGCAAAGTTATCTTCGTGCTTATTTGCCCTGATACGTGTTCCGATGGCGGAAATTCCGAGCGATATTAGAATACGAGAACGATGCGTGATTAGCGCGGTCAGTTATTTGCATCGACA